GTACTTGATCTTTCCCCTGGCTCCTTTCACCTCAGTGTCATTATTTTGAGATTTACCCATGTTGCTGCCAGTATCAATAGTTTGCTCTTTTTTTATTGCTGAGTATTCTACTGTGTAGATATTCCCTATTTTGTTCCGCCATTGTCCTACTGATGGACATCGAGATTGTTTCTGTTTTGGGGTATTATAAAATAAAGCTGCTATAAACATTCATGAACAAGGCTTCCTGAGACATGCTTTTGTTCTCTCCTTGGATAAATACACAGAAGTGGAACCAGCTGAGTCATATAATAGGTATACACTTACTTTTTTATGAAGCTGCCAAACTGTTTCCCATTGTCAGTGTATGAGTTTGTTTCTTCACATCTTTGCCAGCAAATGGTATTGAGTTTTAGTCATCCCAATAGGTATGTAGTGGCATTGCATTGTGGTTTTAATTTACATTTCCTTAATCACGAATGATGTTGAGTATCCTATGTATTCATTTGTCTTTTTTCTTTTGAAGTGTCTGTTCAAATATTTAGTCCATTTTTTAAGTGAATCATTTGCTCTCATTTCAATCCAATGTACCCTATTTTATATTTTATGTCTAGATTTGCGATCTACTTTGAGTTAATTTTGTTGAAGTATGGTATATGGTTCCAGGTTAGATTGGTTGTTTTGGATTTTGCATATGGGTATGAAATTGTTCCAGCTCCGCTTTACTCTATCCTTTCTTTCCTGAATTTTCTTTGTGCCTCTGTCAAAACTCAGTTGACCATATATGTAAATGTGGATCTACTTCTGGTCTGTTTCCATGGATCACCTTATCTATCTCTATGCCAACTGTAGGTTGTTTTTTCAACCCTTTTTTATTTACCGACCAACTCTTGTCTAGATTTCTCAGGAGACTTTTAGTATTTTCCAGTGGTTAAGAAACTTGGTGCACCAGGAACGGCAGGACACGGTAGGAAAGACAAATGGGCAGGTACAGAAAAGGTAAGGCGAAAGTATAACACGGGTAGAAGGATAAGAAAGTTTTTTAAAATGGCATTTTCCCAACTCAGTCATCACCAAAGACCACCACCCCCACCTAGTCTGACCCTAGCCTGTTTTGAAAGGCTATGTCTATAAAATATACCATTTAGCATTATTGGCAATATAGCATTTATTAAGTCATAATTCGTGTTCTCACATATTATTCATCAAAGGCATATGCTACTGCCAGTGTTTCTGAGCAATATGAGATAACCAGGGTTGCTACAACTCTGCCAGAAATGAACTGACGTGTTAGATATCCTGTGCAGTCTTGTGGTGGGTAACGTTATGATCTCCATAAGCTTCCTGAAATACTCCCAACAGCCCTCAGGACTGCCCAGATCATCTCTTTGCAGAGCCATGGGTTTCTGGTGCCTCAGACAAACCCTACCTGCCTGTCTAGGGGCTTCACCTGGCTTTACTTCCTTCATCAACCACTTGCTGTGTCATCAGAGCTTCAGAAAAACATGTGAATTGTTAATGTGATGAAAAGAACAAGAGGGTGAAAAGCACTGATTGCCAATCCATGGTTTTGCAATAACTTGGAATATCACTGATTATTAACTCAGAAGAGAGCCCCTAAAAACCACAAAAAAAGAAAAAAAAAAGACTAATTCTACAAAAGAAACTTGTAACCAGAACCTCTTCCCCTAAGGCTGTGTGGAATTCAAATAAACAATGATCAGGGTTAACAATTCAAGAAAGTTTGGGATACCAGAGCCTCAGACAAGATAGTGAGAAACTGAAAATGAAACACAAGAAAAACTATTTGAAAAGTTAGTCAAAAAGGAAAACCCTGCTCAAATTAGATTCATCAATGCTATCAAATATGACAGCTTGCCATGTTTGAATCCAGAAACACTTCAGTCAGATCACATCCCAAAGTGAAAAAAATGGATTCTTAGTTAGTGTAGACTGTTAAAATGTCACCTTGCGCCCAGACACAGTTCTCAAGCCATGATCTATTTTAACAAAAGGTAACAGATGTCAACAAATCAATGCATGAAAAATGAGGGTCGAGGACACAATTATTGATTTCAAGTATTATTTTTCTTTTAGTTGTTTTGTCGTTTGTTTTCCCTAAAAATAGGCAATGCTTTGAATGGGGCCTCCATTTCTCTTTCAAATGAGTGAGTGCAAAATTCAATGAAATTTTTAAAACATTGTGAATATGATACAGAACGCCCAAGCCTATACCTCTATGGAACAGCTGTGGGGTCCAATCGCTCGCCGCCAAGAAGCACGACTCCAAATGCCAGAGTTTGGTGAAAAGGAATTGTTTATTTAAGTTATACAGCTTTAAAATTAATGGTGGAATTCTGTCGTTAAGTCCCACTCCCTTTAAAACACCCACACATATACACAGCCCTGCTTCCCTTTGTCAAATCAGGCCATTTTCAAAATATACCAGTCAGAGGTACTGTCTTTCAGAAAAACAGAGGTCCGCGGCTCAGCACTCCTGGTCACGGCTCGGCATCGCCGGCACCTCCCGTTAACCCGTGCTTGGCTGAGCAGGTCCCTCAATTCCCAGCACCATCATCCGTGTTGCCATGTTCCCCAGGCAGGTTTCTCAGGATTTCTCCTTTCTTTCTCCAGCTCTTCATCCAAAACCCCGTGGCACCTCCTTACGCACCAGACCTCAAGGCGGGCTGGAGGGGGACTTCTACACCCTTTCAAACCTAATGGCCGAATTCCCTCAAGGCTGCCCGCCCCTAGTCTCAGTCCTGACCTGGAGCCACCTGCATGACCTCACCTCCGACTCCTCCCACAATGAGCTACATCTGCAAGTTCTCCTGTGTTTATATGTATTCAGCAGCCATCCCCAGTCAGGGCTAGAGTGACTCCGTGATGGGGGGACTGCCCCCGCTGGCTATACAGGAGTCAGGATATATCCTGAAAGTCACGCTCATCTTGCCCAGAGGCGGTAGCACAGCCATTATCTTGCCTTGGTTATGAAAAGTATCTTAAGCCATTATCATCTTCTCCTCCCGTCCCCCAACAAAGGGCTATCGGAGCTTTGGCAGCCCCTCAGTCTACACCGTTTCAAATACAATAAAAAACTGTAGCTGTTGCTCTGAAGTCTGGCATCTCTAAATTCTATGACTATTATGGCTATGATTTTTTAGCTTGTAGGTTTATGTGGCATGTAATTAGCTTGTTCTAAATTTGTTTTAAGATATGATCTAAATTTTCAATCAAGTGTATCAGAGCCACTTGGCATGGCATCCATCACCAGGAAATGGTGCCATGGCGGCCGATCCCATTTGAACCCTGATAAATGCAATCAGTGTTATTCTCCTGAACTCAGTAAGACAAAGTGCTTTGTTTATTTTTATTTCTGCTGTCCATAAGGCCTACCAATACCAGATCCAGCTTATATAAAGTAATTATCATAATGCTAAAGCCTACCATTAGAAGAAAATATATGCCTTAAAAATACATTATTTCAAATAGTACCCTATATAGCACTTCAGTATTTTCGAAGATATTTGACATTCATTAAATAAGGTTTATCCCAGGTTGGAATGCTGAAAGAACATGAAACAAACAAAAGCTCAAGTCAAGCTTTTTTTCTTCCAAAATTTAACTCTGCTAGAGATACAGTTCAGTCTACATAATTAACAATCGAATTGCTGTCAAATTTAAGCTAAAACAACATAAGCAAGGTTAAATATACGAAAACTACTAAGGATAAATAAGGTTTTTCTTCAATTAAACTTAACTATTAACAATTACTGTTTAACAGTATTTAAAGATACACTTCTGTATCTCTACTACAGAAAATATAAACAGTAATTGTTGTAGAGAAATTGCAAAGGAATTTTGTTGACATGAATTACACTAGAAATCACAATATCCCAAGTCCTTGAGCTTTTAAATAAAATAAAAGGTATGCCTCAGATGTCTATTGTAAAAATAAGTGGTAAGAAGGCTCCCAATCCCCTGGCAGACTGGACTCTTTCCTCACCCATATTTCCACATCTTAACCTGTGTTCTAATGACTGTATGGATTTCAATCCATTGGCTGAGAATATCTGAAATGAAGAGCAACAAGATGGATGAACCTAGATATGTAAGTGAAATAAATCTGTCAGAGAAAGATAGTAATGTATGATTTCACATATGTGCGGAATCTAAAAAAACAAAACAGAAACATACCCATAGATACAGATAAAAGGCTGATGGGTAGCCAAAGAAGATAAGAGTGGAGGAATGGTTGAAAAGGAAAACAAACAAACAAACAGAAAAACTTTCTGAGCCCTGGAGGGAAAGCTCAGTTGGTTAGAGCATCTTCCCAACACACCAAGGCTGCAGGCTTGATCCCTGGTCAGGACTATAAGAAGCAACCAATGAATGCACAAATAAGTGGAGTAACATACTGATGTTTCTCTCTGTCTAAAATCAATCAATAAAAAATTTTTTAAAGTTTCTTAGCATATTTCTAGGCTTTAAAATATACTTGCTGAATATTACTGAATGTTTCACTAACTGATTAGGCCTCAAAAAAAGAGAAATGAAGGTGAAAAGGAGATCTGAAAGATAAACTACACTTGATTAAGGTTCATAAAGTCAGCAAGAAGTTTAATTACAACTCAGTTTCTGTCTTCTTATAATGAAGAAGAATATGATCAAATCTTTTCATTATAAAAATGTTATAGGCCTAGGAATCAGAGAAAACATTTATAGAATAGGATTATCTATTTGATAGAATTCCCTATAACTAGAACAACAATTTTAGATTATTCCTAGGGAATCAACTGTTATACAGAATGCTTATTTTGTTGCAAAGGGTGTTTAACATGTGACAAACCACTTTCAAACAGCATAAAAAGTTCATAGTTCTTATTAACTGCAGTAGTAACTTCGAAATCATTACCTGAATAGTGAAGAAAACCTCAGAGAGTCTTCTCCAGTATGAAGCCTGTCAACAACTCCAAGTTCAAAAATAAAATGACACACTGAAGAGAAAGTACAATGTTAGTTTTTGAAATTTTATTATTTTTATTACATACATTTCACAAACAGGAACCTTCTAACACCACACAGAATTCCATAACCAAATGCTTCAACTTTATCAACATTCCTTAACTATTTACACTGTCTTCCCTCCACAAAAGTGCAATCCAAGATATCTTGACAAAAAGTCTTTACTGACAAGAGTATATTTTGAGCTGGTTTTAAAGAAGCCCATCCATTACATTTTCTTTCAATTATCTGGAATAATAACAAAGTCAACAGGACGTGGAGATGAGCTGAGTTAGGCAGCATCCAGTTATAGGAACCAAAACACTGAGCAAGAGCCCTTTCTCCTCACTGCCCCCCAAACCTCCAGCTAAAACTACTCAACAGCTGCTACCGTGAGACTAAAGAGAAGCAAAGGAGAGTTACTGACCCGGGCACAGGAGAGCAGACTGTATGTTAAGCACTGGTCTTATAAGACAAAATGAAAGATTCAGCAGGTTAGTTTCGGTGGTCTATCTGTTAGGTTTAGGATTTAAACACCTAATAATATTCTTTTCTGATGAATTAATTTGCCCCAAACAGATAGGAAAATACTTTTTACTCTGAAAATGAACCTCTTTTAAAAAAGAAGAACTTCTCTTCTTTTTTTACTGTAAAATCAATGCTGCAGAAAGCTCTTTCTTAATTGGAATGGGATACCTGACGCCAGTCCCAGTTCCACGGCCCATGTCTATCTTTTAAGGTATAAACCTCGTGAATTAACTGCTTCAGATGCAACTAGAGGAAAGTGGCGAACTGAGTTGGCCTGAAGAGAAAATGATGAGACCGTCAGAAATAATCTTCTCACTAAACCAATGCAGACAATTTTATTTGTCCAAGGTACATAACTCTTAAAAATAAATGATAAGAAAAAAGAGTAGATGAAAAATCACTTTGAAATTATAAGTCACTTATAAGTGGTTCATATTATTGAACACTATTCATCAGAAAAACAGAAAATGGATCTCTTAGGTGACTAATAGCTTTTAACACCCAAACCACAACAAAAATAATCACCCTTTTTTTTTTTTTTGACATATTCCGATTTCCATCAATGTACTTAGAGCAAAGTACGTTGAGGAAGCATGGGGAAAGTATTATGGTCAGCAGATTTCTGAAACAAGTTTTATTATTTTTATTATAGCATAATCAATTATATTTTATTCTCAAATCAACCAAATAACCCATTTTAAAAGACTGTATTGTCTTGAAGGTAAAGATATTCTTAGATATACCTATGCTTTTCCTTTTACAGAACTGCAGCATCCACAAAATCCTCACTTTATCATCAAAATAAAGGCCAAAAGCAAATTTTACCTAATTACAGTGAAACCTCATTATATTTATTTTTTAGGGAGTAGAATACGATAAAAAGAGAAAAATATTGAGTGCATCCAACATTCCACTCACAGCAGTTTTAGACTGAGGAGCCTGCTGAATGCGATCTATACATACTTTATGCTTAAGAACAATATAAGCAGCTTTCTCTACAAAAACGTAGGTGGGTTAAAGAACAGCATTACAAATATTTTACTATTCATTTTAAATGCAGAAGTAAAATGCAAATGGTGCTCCAAAGACAAGAGAAACTTTTGTACTTGGGTACATCAGAGAATCCATAGGGAAACAGTTAACTCACAATTACAGCTTTGCATATTAAAGACAATTGTGCAAGGGTTATGTCCTATAGAGACCTCTTTCATGGCAACAAATGCTGTCAGACCAATAACAATTTTCTGCTTCTTATTGGCATTATTGAGCATTTCCTCTATTGTGAAATATGTTTCAGATCAAACACCAAACTAGATACACTAAACTGAATTATTATCACCCAAACTGAAAGATGAAGAATATTAACATATTGGTTCTTCTTAAGGCTGTGTTGTTTCAAAAACAAAATAGCAAATATTTCATGTAGTACTGAAGCTCACTTGCAATAATGCCTAAACAATCTTGAGAGGAAAAACAACTATTTTTCTGAGGGGAAGAAAAATGGTATAAACCAAGTAAGTAAGTAACATAAATGTTTACATAACCCCTAATGGGGCTACCCATACAATAATTATTATTTTAAGCATTCATTTAGCATGTATGTATATATAGGTCATCTTCATAGTTATCAAATTCATTTTTGAGGCATGATATTCCATTCTATAAGGGCATATAGTGTATGTCTATTTAAATCACCAAGATCTAATAAACAGAAAACTGTGTTTTGGAAAGCCCAATGCTGTGACGAGTTTAGTATATAAATTACCATCTTTTCCCACCAATGGTAAGGTATCACAAGGATCTTCTGAATGATCTGTTTTCAAATCAGAGATTTTCCAAAATGAAATGCACTTAAAACAGAAATATTAAAATTATTATTTTCCTCATACTCCCACAAATAATTTTTTCCCTTTCCTTACTAGGGTCAAATCTTTGATTTTGGAAACTCAGCATTTAACGGGTAAAAGGTAGCTGTAAGTGATTTTGGAGAAGGTAAATGTGGCCATAACTGGTTCTCAAACTCACCAGTGAGGTCTGCGGCCGTGAGATTTACCTTTACAAAGGGTCTGACGTGAAATGGCACTTCGACAGTGCAACCTATATAAATCGGAGCCATCCAAATCATGTTATTCACAGCCTCTCCTTAGGAGCTAATGTGACCAGATTCATATCACAGTTCCTGCCTTCTTGCCCTCTTGAACCAGTGTGCATCATTTCCAAACTCATTTAGTATATACTGTCTCTATTTTAGGTCAGCTTACCTAAAATTATTTGCAATACCAATAGCTTTCACATGTCTCATAATTTGGATATCATTTTCAGTACGAAAACTGACTATTATGTTACAACAGTGATGGAAACAGCACTTCCGTTCACTTTCAAATAATCCGTCAGTGAGTATAAACTGCACGTCCGTGTGCACTGCAGAAACAAAGCCAAGATGGACTAACACACCATCAACTCTCCCGGCACATTCTTACATTCACTTGTCACATTTTCCCCAAGGCCCAGAGAAGATCTAAACGTGGGTCTTTTAAAACAGTTACCTTTTAGAGTGTGCTCCCAACTCCTACCATGCTCTTGGTTTATAACCACATAATCCCTTTCCTAAACTCACCCCATCCTCCTCACCACCTTAAAAGCTGCATGAGAGACTCTTTGTGGTGGTGAATTAATACGCAGGGCTCACAGGTTCCCTCCCTGGGCTCCGGTCACGGCCACAGATTACCACTCCCCAGTCAGGAGAGGGCAAGGGCAGCCCCCACTTTAGTGGGGCGCACACGCAAAGGAACCCTCCTTTACATTAGAAAAGAAGTTAACATCACAGAAGGTTTGCCTAGAAAAGATATGTAACAAAGTAATAATATCAACAAAATAGCTATTACCAAAGCAAAGCTTTCATCAATAAGCTTCGAGAACTTTAAAGGAAGAAAATGGCTTCACAAAATGGTAGTCCAGGTTCCCACAGTGTGGACATTGCTGGACGTTGCTGTACTCGGAGAAGTACTGCATCCCAATCCGCACGTCGATCACGGGCTTCCCGCAGTGCTTACAGTTCAGCCGGGCCTGGGGGAGACACGGCACGGTAAGCCACCAACCCTCCACCTCCGACACCGTCCACGTCCTCTGACCCCAAATGCAAGATCATTACAGCTGGGAAACGGACCCGGAGGTTAGTAAAGTGTCCTTTTATTACCAATATCAGGGTAGGCAAGGCATAAGACATGCGTAAGATGTGGAGTCAAGCACTCATCATTAGTCTGAAGGTTACCTCCTAATTTCTCTCGCCGTAGGAAGCCATTCTACTAGTTTCTCCTACTCACAGGAAGAAAATGTAAACTTGTGCTGCCCTGAGTTTCTCCAGGAAAGTCCCCCAAATAACAGGACAACCTTGCCTCTGGATTTCAAAAAGTGGCTGAAGCTGATTCCCCCACCCAAACCTATATAAACTTCTTTGAAGATTCTGTTTATTTAAAAAATTCATACACATTTTTCATTCTACTCCTCTCTATATTTGTGTGTTCTTTGTGTAAAAATAAATAACATTTCCTTAAAATGCTCAAGCATAATTAGCAATCCAAGGAGCAGCGCCACATGTGTCCTGAGGCCTGGAAGCCCTGGCCCAGTACATGTACCTCAGTTAACACCTGGGCCCCTCTTTAAGGGCACAATAGTAGAGGTTTGCACCAACAGGCCTTAAGGGAATAAGCAGAAGTAATAAATACAACAGACTCTCAATTTAGATGCACTCCAAAAATGTAACAAAAAAGTATAACCTCATTTTTCCCTCAAAACACTCCTGTGAGGTGGGCAGTATTATGTGAAGTTTTAGATGATGAAACTGAGGCACATAGGGAGAAAGTAACATGCCCAAGACCACACTGTTAGTAAGTAGAAAGGCTGAGATTGAGGCAAAGTAGCTTATTCCAGAGCCCACGCTCTAGCCATCACAGAGACTGCCTTTCTGTAACCTGAGATAACCTCCCTTGTCTCTTTGAACATTAAAAGTGAGATTCTGCACAAACATCTCTCTTTAACTTGTTATTCCTCTCTATAACTAATCATTGCTTAATTTTGGCTCAAAGTTTTATTGGAAGATTTGGCTTGATCCCTTCACAATAAATATACTTAAGGGATATTTTTAAAGCCAAACAACAATCAAACCTGTTTTCCATTTCAGTGTGTGTTGGGGGGGATGAGGAATGAAGGTCTGGGCTTACACTGTTTTAAGGAAGAACGATAGTAAGTACCAGCGGGCCAGGCATGACAGGGTGCCGCTCGGCTCTTCTCTCCAAGGCAAGAAGATAACCCCGCTGCCTTTCAGGAGCGAGTGAGAACACATACCAGCCTAGGAGCCACAGGTTTCAGCCATGGCTCTGACACATTTGTTTGCGGCTCTGACACATCTGAGTAAAACACTCTGATTTTCTGGGCCTCTCTTATACGTGGAGAACAATGAGTCTGGACTAGATCTGCCAGGTCGTTCCAAGTGCTAACACTCTGTGAGTTACAGGCCCAAACATCCTCTCATTTCCTTGTTTCTCTAAAAGACAACCTTCTCTGGAGTGTGTGTGAAGAGAGAAAAGCCACTTCCTTTTGTTTGTCTCACCTCAAGAGCTGGCATTAAAACACAATACTATAAAATGCTACAGTGAGTAACTAAAAGACTATGATATCTAATTTCAAAGGCCAAGTTTTTAAGATGGAAATGTGGCCCATGTATTAGTATAACATAAAAGTAGTCAATTCTATCTGGAATCGAATGGCAGGCTATAGATGGCCATTTAGGTCTGTCACGGCTCTATTTCACTTTTAAGATCACTACTATAGACAAAGTACAGCTGAAATACCAACTCTGCCGGTATTTTAATTCAACCAACACTGGGTATCTTTTGAATAAACTGTGAACAGTGAGGATATCTTCTTTACAAAAATTAAACCATAATGCTAAAGATGCAAAACTATGTAGTACACTAATAAAGTGTCCATCGCTTTAAAAGCCAGGCTTGGCCACTGAAGAGCAAAGGAAAATCTCTCTCCTAACCGTAAGGATCAAAGAATTACATTACAAGTGCTTGCTTTTTCCAAGCATTTGAAAATACCAGTAAACCAATGGATTTCCAAGGACTCTGTCGCCCCCCGTGTCTCCACGGACCGACTGCACGTTTTGCATGCCGGTACTCCCGTCTGCCCCGACGACAGCTGCATTTCAGAGCCCTCCCAGCCGTGCTTTAAGGGCTGCAGATCTTTCACATCAGCCTCCAACACGGTACAAGGCAGGCAGTTCCTGGGCAACTGTACTGTCCCAGAGAAAGATCTTGTCTATTAAAGAACTTCCTTCTAAATAACTTTTGTTCATTAGAAATTAGCATATGTTAACCATATAAAACATTAGAAAATATAGGTAAGCAAAGAGAAAACTAGAGAACCACCCAGCATCCCACATCCAGAAACCACCTGATAACTGGTTAGTAGATCCCTTTTCATGTTCACTTTTTACGAATGGAAGTATTTATAATCTAGTTATATGCTATTTGTAATCATATTTTTTACTTTAAATACTGAAAACATTTTCCACATTATTCTACAACAGCCCCTTCTGTGACCGTACGGTGGCCCACGCAGCCACCACCGCCGCTGCACCCCACGGCAGCAGATCGACCAGCACCAGGAGACAGTGGAGCGGTCTCATGAATGCTCACTACTAGAGCACCTTCCAGTGCCCTCCGCCTCCCCTACCCTAACTGCAATGCCCACTCTAACTCCTCTACGTTCACGTGGGGACAGAAGCCTGATATCATCCACTGCTCGTTCTGCGGGGTCAATACCAACCTGACAGCATGGAGAGGCGGCCAGGATGTCGTAGGTGTACATGGTGCCCAGCTGGTGCCAGCTGCCGTCCCACCGCGACTTACACTTGATGCAGATGATCTTGTGAACCCCTTCCAGGCAGTCCACGCACACTGCGTACAGGTGCATGAGTCTCCCTGTGCACAGAAGACACAATTGCTGAGAGTAGCCATCACGGAAATCACCTTTTGTCTCCAAAGGGGATTAAAAATTGGCTCATCCATCAGTTGTAAACACACAGTTTTATCACTTGGATAAGCATAAAAAGCAAAATAGATATCACATACCCCCAAGTTGTCATTTTAGAATAATGATAAATTAGTATTATCAATGAAACATGTACTTTAAGTTCAATCTTATTAAAGTGCTTTAACTCACTTTTCCAAAAAGTGCTGCCAGGTTTAAAAAAACTTGGACGTACAAACTCAAATGGCCAAGCCTTGGGTGCTCAAAACAGCCTGTGACTATGCAGGACTTTCTGTTCAGAAGCCTATGTGTGGCACACAGAGGCTGAACTAGCAACCCTGGTCTATATTCATGGGATCGCTCATCGATTAACAAACCCCATGATACAATCAAAAGTCTGTTCTGGTCTTGGTGGCCCAGACCTGTATCATAGCCAGAATTACTACATTAACTGTCCTTGTCTCTAAAATCACTCAGCCATCACCACATCTAACTTAGGAACTGGTATATCTTACTTGTAAGTGCTATTTTAAAAGGAGTTCAATGTCTTGTTCTTTACTAGGCTCTTAGAAGTTACATGCCCATTCCTCCATTTTTTATTAACACCTAAGGAAAAAAAATGTCACCCAGTTTATACAGAAGGATTAATATTCAAATCATGGAAGTCAGAATGTTCAGGATCTGCCTGGACAATGTGTAACAGCAACAATGCTGCTCTCCACGTGCGGATCAGGAAGTTGCACTGTGCTAAAAACTACTGTCAGGAGAACATACACTCCTAAGTGGCTTCTTATTCCAAATGTGCTGCTCGCTGCCATCGGCCAGACCATGGCTCTTCGCCTTCTGGTGCTAAGGACTAGCGTGCTCCTTACATTGGAGAAGGGTATACAGTACATCAGAGATACCTTTTATAGCTTTTTCTCTCCCTCTTGGAGGACTAGGTCTTACTCACCCTGGTAGGCTGAGAGTCTCGCACAGTGCCTGACTTGGGGAAAGCACTCCGTTACTGAATGCTGGATGAATGGAGGGGCATGTTAATAGCCAAAGTCTAAATTACCTCAGGGGCCACTATGTCAAAAATGCAAAGGGTGGCATTCCTAGGGCACTGGCAATGAAAAGGTCTCACATACCATGCCCACTCAGAGTGGCCCGGGGACATTTCAGGATGTTAATTCAAGAATCCAGAAGACACCAGGAAACACTTCATTTCCAGTCTCCCTCCTGGACCTACTCACGGCAATTCTCTAATAGTCAGACACCCAGGCAGCTGCTAGGAAGAGACACTGAGGTCAGATGTCACTGCCATCCGGATGAAGCTGACAGGGAACTTTTACTAAGGGCTTTCCAGGGTCTGGCACTGTGCTATGAGGCTATATGAATCATTTCATTTAACCCTCACAGCAACACTACAAAGTAGGTATTTTTGTTAGACCCACTTCGGATAGAAGGAAGAAACTGAGAGACTTCAATTCATATCTGCCTCACTCTTCACATCTAGACACACTCATGGGAACTCCTGGTCTGGACTGAGCCTCTACATTTGTTTCAGTTACTATCATACATTGTCCTAAATACAGAGAAGTTTAAATTTCTAAACTCTAGAGTTGTGAGATCAAACAAAAAGCAGATTCCTGGGAGAACAGCCATCTGTGGTTCTAAGTGGGAACGAAGTACAATAAAAACTTCCTAAGTAAATCAATCTTAATAAATCACTAAAATCAAACAAAAATATCTTATCAGAGAAGGAGTCAGAGAGCAGAGGCTGGAGCTGGAGGCCGGGGTGGGTGGTGAGGGGTAAAGGGAACAGCTAGGGAGTGACAATCCACATGGGCCAGCCCTGGAAACAAGGAGTCATTTTAGCAGCATATAATCAACTGCAGCCTGGAATCCGTGGCCTGGAACGTGGCCTCTTCTATTAGAGCTGAACATGCTGTAAGGATTCTGTGATGGAAGAAATGATCTACACTAGCTTGCTCTAAAAAGGATTGCATGGACTTCTTGGAGATGTGACAATAAACACCCTGGCACATGTCAAGGCCCCCTAAAGAACTTGGCCAAGCTCTTTATCATGGCTTGAAAGTGTATCTACAACCTGTTCTCCATCTACCCTACTCATTCTCCACTCTAGAACATTTGCTCAACCAAGTGGTTCTCTACAGTCCTCTCACCATCTTCCTGCCTTTTAAAACCGCTTTTCCTTTGCACACTGCTCCCGTCCCTCTTACTAGCAAACACCTGGTGTGGCTAGACTCTCCACCTAAATTTATACACCTTCAGATTGCCCCTAACTACCCAGGCCAACATGGCCCCTTCCTCCCTGGAAATTATAGGGCCCTTAATGTACATAAGTATCCAGGCGTCACCAGGTCCCCTGGTGGTACTGGAGTTAGTTACATTTTTATAAAAGCATTGTACATCCTAAGATTCTAAGCTAATGAAAGGCAAGAACTGATAGTACCCAGCATATGAAATTCCTAAATTTGATTGGTTGATGAGTGGATTAAATGAAAAAAATTTGTCATTATGAATTGAAAAAGAACATTATTTTCACGTACCCTCTACTCTTATACCCCTCAAACATCTCCATAAAGAATATTTCTGGTCTAAAAATGGTGAACTAAAGGTGCTTTGCCTTACTACCTCTAAAATTATCCCCAAACAGTACAAAGCACAAGAAAAAACACACAAACTCCATCTTCCATGAATATACAAGGTACCTCAAACCTGAAGCAGAGTATGAGATCAGAAATTGGACAGCCTGGCTTGAGTGGCTCAGTGGACTGAGCACCAGCCTGCGGGCCAAAAGGCCGACTCGCCTGCCACTGCCAGATGTGTCAGAGAGGCCATCCTACCCAAACAATCCATGGAATTGTGAGAAATTATAAATCCTCACTGTTTTAAACCACTAAGTTTTGGAGTCGTTTCCTTATAACAAAGACTAGAAAAGACAAGGGATGAGGTGAAACACTAAAAAATGAATGAGACCACTCCCTGCCACTTGAGTTCTTTCCCTGCTGAGAAAGAGAAGAAACTGCATCCATGAAACAAACAGAACATAATTAAAAAGAGCTCTCTGATGCCCTGGCTGATGTGGCTCAGTGGACTGAGCACTGGCCTGTGAACTGAAATCGGTCGCCGATTAGATTCTGTCTGGGCACATGCCTGGGTTGTGGGTCACGCCCCCAGTTGGGGGCATCCAAGAGGCAACCAATTTCTCTCTCACACATCGATGTTTCTCTCCCTCCCTTACCCTCTCTCTCAGAATAAATAAAATCTTAAAAAAAAAAAAAAGCTCTTGGAAATTATAAATATGAGAATAAAATCTTTAAACTAGGTAAAAATACTGGAATATCAATCAAGTCAAGGAAATCTTCCAGAAAGCAGAATTAAAATAAAGAGATAAACAATAGGGCCAAAATATATATTATAAAGATAAACCAAAAGTAAATTTCCCCAAGAAAGACCGTAAGTTTACACAGTCAAAAAGCCAAGAAAGCACTTTGTACAATAAATGAAAAAACAAAAAAATGATAAAGACCTGTATCATGATGAAGTTTCAGAATACTATGGAGAAAGAGAACATCTTAAAACCCTTGGGGGATATGGGGGAATAAAGGGACAGGAATAATATTAGACTTCTCAATAACATTAGAAGACAGTGAAGAAATGCCTTAGAAATTCTAAGGGAAAAATAATTGTAATCTGGAAGACTATACCCATCCAAATAGCAATCAAGTATGAAGATAGACTCAAATTATTCTCAGACTTTCAAAGTCTTAAATTTAACAAATTGAGGGAATAAACCAAGGAAAAAGAAAATGTGGGGCCTAGGAAACAGAAGGAAAAAAAATAGAAAAGAATTGAAGAAATTCCTAGAAGGACAACTATGTAGCATAGCAGGTACTGAGTACACGAGGACAGACGGGAGCGGGAAGATGAAAGGTTCCATGAGGGAAATCTCTAGAAAAAATGTCATTAAATGTCCTAGGTATGTGGAAATGTTTGTGAAAGGTAGTTGGTACTGCTGCTTCCAAGTAAGAACAACAAGCCAAAGATTCAAAAAATGCTAAGCTAACGAAACGTGAAGCAATTTTTTCAATAAAAATAAGCAGCATGCTAGGATATACTGGACTCTATACAGGAAATATATGAACCTACACTTCTTGGTTCAACACTAAATATTTCAACACTAATAGTAAAAAAGAAAGAAAAACTTCCAAGAATTGTGGCCTATTATCCTGAAAGGGAAAGATGCATGAAAGCACAGTCATCCACCTTAAAAGTCAGTCAGTAATATCTAAAATTAGAGAATGAAGATAACAGTTTTAAAAGCATGGTGATAAAAACCTAAAGAATCAGGTAAGATGTAAAAGTGTGTCTCTGAGAACTGAGATAGCAGGGTTTGGGGAAAAGAAGATAGGTGGGGATGTGTCATTTGCACAACAGGCTTTTTTAGCACACTTTGAAAGTTAGAAAGACATGACATGCATACCGTGCATCCCATCTTTACATATATTCAACAGAGTCACATGCATTGACAGAGTGCTCACCCTCTGTCATTCAACTTACGGTTGAAATGTCACTAAGTCCATGTATGTCATCCACAGCATTGATAAGCTCCCACCCCTCACCACCAAGGTAATACATTGAGTTTTCAATAATCCTCCATTTTCCTTTTGTTGTCATCAAGAAAGTCTCATATTTCATACATGTCAAGGTTAATTCAAATAATCTAAAAACATCTTGGCCCTTCCTGACCCCTACTTTCATATGCCTACAAGGATGAAAGGGAATACACAGCTTGCTGTGCACATTAACACAGGTTTCAAAGGCAACTATTTTACAGTAACATTTTCATACAATTGTTCCTGTAAATGTTTTCCCAATTATGAAAAACTACACACTAGGAATCCTCCCTTCTATACACAGTGGAACAAAAGCATAAAATTGCCCACCGGGACCATACTATTGGTACCGTGCTATCAGAGTAAAACAGACTCCCACTATCTTCACCACCTCACTGGGCAAAGCTGAAACATCCCAGTGGTACCTTGCACCTGACTAGAACAGAAAAGCACCATCGGTTAAAATTGAGCCAGGACAGAGGAGTCCCATCGTATTTGCTTTCCAGCTCTTAACAAACAGAAAGCAGGCAAGGTGAACTAACACCTGTACCTTGAAGGTGACAGGGAACATCGTATTCGATCTCATCATGTCTCGATGGGCTCAAGAACAGAGTTCCGTCCACCAGTGGGAACTGTTCGAACACCGGGAGCGCCCGGTGGCACAGGGCACAGTTTACAACATTTCTGTGGCTGGCACTGAGGGCTGCAAGAATGAACTTGCGCAGATCCTCGCCCTGGCCCATTTGGGCATCGTCTTCCATCCGCACGTGGAAAGTGTTCAACTTATGCCGGGGGATGTGAGTGAGGAGCTCAGAGAGGTCCAGCCGCCGCAGGAACTGTACGGGCGTGTCAAAGTGGCTGCCCCGGTGAATTGATAAACCAGCCGAACTGTAATCAAAGTGGGCATTTCGGAACACGTGGCCCCCAGCCATGGCCTTTTTGTGAGGCTCAAGATGGATGGCATTCTTTAAGAATTCCCCAAGGTATCTGGAGGAGCGGGGACCGCTGAAGTGGGCAGGGGAGAGGATGGAGTAGCCGGTGGGAGGGGACTGGCCGGGGGAGCCACAAGGGGAGCGGCCCCCATAGGCCCCAGCACTGACGGCCTTCTCCTGGGAGTTCTGCCGGTCCATGGAATGCCGGCGGGGGAGGTCATGGTTCAGGCCTTTCTGGGGCTTGTTTGGGGGCCTGCACTTCTTTGCCTCCTCCACCGCCTCACCAGGGGGCCTCCCTGTGTTCTTCTCTGACCCTGACTTCTTCTTCTTCTCATCCTGCATCCGCTTCACCTGGTACCAGTCTGTGTCCTTCTTTAAGTGGCCCTGCCCACAACGGCAGGAGCAGAAGCGGAAGGCCAGGTCGTAGCCCTTCTTGGTCCACATGTTCTGGCGGCACTGCTTCTCGTTCCAGCTGCGAGCGCGGCCGATGCAGTTGAACTGGACCAGGATGCTGCTCTCCCACTCGTAGAAGCACTGCAGGTGCATCCAGGTGCTGCAGGGGCAGTGCTCGTTGTTGCACACCACCTTCTGGTAGTCGTCCTTCTCCAGGTCCACCGGCCTCCCGAAGCTGCAGATCAGGGGCGTGGCGCACGGGGCTTCTGGGGAGAAACACAAAAGGAGAGTCAGCCCCCAGGACCTGCGATTCCTGCTGACGCCGAGTCAGAGAGCAAAGCTACCGACCGACATTAGCCCATTCACGCCGAAAGTACAATTCTTCTGGTGTGAAGATTTCCACCACTGGAAGGATACCCAGCACGATTAGAAAACATTTAACATTTTCTCCTGGTCTGATGTTGTGCCAAGGGAATTTATTGTCTGATATTTGCTATCTGCTGAAAAATACACCTATAAGCTTCAGAGAGCCCAAACCCTTCACAGTGGAATTGGCTCTATGTCAGTACTGGCAGCAGAGTGGTATGAGGTTTTCCTAAGATGTGGGTTAATGACAGGCAGTTTTAGGGTTCTTTTAAAAATGAATCACTCCAATGGACTAGGAAATAATATGATGAAGCTACTTAACCAAAAGGATCACATGGTAGCTCCCAAAGGGCCCTAAAAGCCCTTAATCATGGGGCTTAGGTTATCCTGAATACCACAGAGGAACTAGAAAACAGACTGGCCTCAACCCCAATCTCGGCTAGAATGGTCTGACTCCTAACGGCAGGGATATTTGGTCAAACTGATCACTGCTCAAACAGACTTACGCTGCCAGACCATGAAGGAAAAACAGAATTCTCCAAAATGATCCAGAGAGAAAGTGGGAACACCAGGATTTTTCTACCCCATTTAACCACATGCCCTACAGGGTGTCTATAAGGCCAAGCAGGTTTCCAGAAAAGAGGGGAAACTTGGTGACACAAAGAACTCATAATGGAAAAAAAAAATACAAAAAAAAAAGGAAGTCAACAGGATTTACGGAGATTTTAGAATTCCACTTGATTCCTGTTACTTCGACGACCATGTTTTCAAAAGGCACCTCCGGAGGCTAGTGCTGCTCCCAGGTGGGAACCACTGGGCTTGATCACAAAGGTTCCACATGCCACATGCAGTACAGACTTCATCCGTTGTGGCCGAGAAGCTAAATGAGGACTGTAAGCCACAAAGCCTCTCAGTCAAGAGTTGTTTCAGAAATCTCCCCCTGGTGGCAGCGTGGGTGGGGCAACAGGCTGGAAGCACGGAGGCGGGCACAAGGGGGAGGGGGTGGGGGGGTGTTGCTGCAGTAATCAAGGCAAGCAATGACGAGTGCCTGGGCTGTGACAGCAGCAGCAGCAGCAGCAGCCTCTCAGTGCTGCGGCTGGCCAGACGCTGGCGGACTGCCAGGGACAGGTTTGGAGGAAGACTCTGGGCTGGCCCTAGTTTGAACTTGCTCCATTGGAAGTGCCTGAGCACTGCTGAGGTGGAGAAAGAAGCAGCTGGAGCTCAAGAGACCTGAAGCTGTCAACTCAGGGGTAGAGCCATGCCCCCAGGCATGGAGAGTCAACCCTTAGACTGCTGAGCTGGCCTGCAGGAAACGTGAAGAGTGGGAGAGAATCCTGGGAAGCGACATTAAGAGGCTGGAGGAGAGCCGTCCACAGAGAATGGTAAGGGATATACACCGAGCATTCACTGAAAGACAAGCCAGGAGAGAATTCTATCAGGGCAGTAGGAAAAGTTGTTAGAACAGAAGACTTGCAATGTCCCAGGGTGCCAGGTGGGATTAGCGTTTCTCCCCCTCTGCACTGCTGACATTTTGGGCTGGGTAAGTCTTTGTTGCGGGAATGCCCTGTTGTGCACTGCTGATGTTTAGCAGCACCCCTGCTAGATGCCAGTAACACCACCCTTCCATTGTGACAGCCCTAAAGGTCTCCAGTTGTTGCCAGATATCCCCTGGGTACAAAATCACCCCTGGTTGGGAACTTCTGGTTAAGATAAAGACCAGAATTAGCAGTGAGCAAGTCACTGACATCTTAGTAAGGACAGTTCCAGTTCCACTGGGATGACAGGGACAGGTGTGGAGGGGACAGTGAGGTAACAGAGTAGAAGCAGTACAATGACCCTCCAGAAAACTCTTAACCAAAAGTATGTAACTAGGAGGAGGGAAGAAAATGGGCGGAGGACTCAAAGGCTGAGAACTAAGCATGTCTGTCAACTGGGGGAACGCATGCCAAAATCTCAAAGCAGCCTGAAGATGCAGCAGAGGGACACAAGCTACTCAAAAACCTTCAGAACTTCACCACTGCCCAGTGAATTGCAAACACTATTCCACCAATCATCCCTTCAGTGTGGGATTCTAGGACCTCAGCAAAATGGCCCTAACCAACTTGTTTCCCTCCACACCTGTGACCGCTATGGCCTCTCCATCTACCTCCTGGGAATCCACAACCCTTCATGTTCACTTGTCCAAAGCCCACTCGCCTCGCGTACCAATTCCTGGTGCAGGGACCCTGTGACCAGGCTGCCTGGGCTGGAATCCCAGCAGCACTGCTGCTGGGCTGTGTGCTCTTAGACAAGTTACTTCTCTTTGTGTCAGTTTTCTGTGCAAAAAATGCAGATAACTGACTGCGCCTTACATGGTTGTCATAAAGATGAAAGATACTGATTCATAGGTAGTGTTTATGTGACAGAGACGTCCACCAGATGGCTAGGCAGAGGGGAGGAATGCTCGAGAGGGGTCGGGAAAGGGTCGAGAAGTGCCAAAGGTGGAGGACTGAAATGACAACTGAAACCGTGTGACAGGCTTCCACACCCTGGGGAAGGGGTAAACAACCAAGAAGGCTAGTGACACGGCTTGCACAGAGCTGACATGGGGCTGGAAAGGTCACAACACACGTGCATCGCGGAGGCGAGCGTGGCGATGCCCAGCCTGGGCAGAGACATTGCACCCCTGCATGCAGCTAGAAAACCCCCAGCCCGCTTCCGGACCCTGGTGGCCAGAGGTGGGGCAGAAATGCTATGCGGGCCGACGTGTGTGGCGGGCCTGAGTTGGCTGGGAATTTGGACACATCCACTTTGTATGGGATTTTGGGGCAAAAGATTTAAAACAGAGGGCGCTCAGAAACTTGGCCCTTTTGGTGGTCCCCTTGCTCTGCCCGGTGGGCAGGGGACAAGAGTGTTCACAGGACCTGGCAGATGCCAGCCGGCTTGCACAGTTGGGAGCAGGTACTGCGCACTTGGCTGGCAGCGGCCTGTGGGACACTGTGGCCTGGCGCCTCCTGGCGCACAGGCCCTGGACCAGTCCCATCCTCTCGCTCTGAGAGCAGCACACAGGTACAGGGGCTGAAAACGTCGCCAGCCCTGGCAGCACGAGCAGCCCTGAACTGAGGGGCGGGCAGACAGAGCTCCTCGCATGACCTGCTGCAGTGACCAAGCAGAGCACCCCTGCCGAGGAGAGCAAGGAAACTGCGGGCGGGGGAGGGGGGGGCCCCCGCAGGGACACCGGCCCAACAAATTCACACTCCAGAGAAGGGGAGAGAGAGAGAGCCTGGAGCTGGAGAGATAGAGACCCGTCTGCATAGCAGACTTGGACTCCAGAAGGACAGTAAGAAATGGGTAGGGGTCTATGGGCATGAATTTGAATTTCAGTCTTTTGGAGAACAAGGGGATTTCTGTGTATTGCAGAAGAGAATGGCATGAGGGAGGAGAGTCTCCAGCTTCCCAAAACATGACTTGAGTCCCCATTCTAGTCCCACCATGTGATGACCCAGGAGAGGACACCGCTTACTCATCTCTGTGTTCCTGGTACCACCGGGCCCAGGCCTGGCACACATCTGGTGTTCAGTACAGTTGCATGAAAATGACACTGGCACATGAGAACCCCACACGACAAGCATAGCAGAAGGGAGAGAGAGATCTGCAATCCTAGACAAGCAGAAAAGACCTGAATGTACTGAGAAATAGAGGAGGAGAGTGCTTTATAAACTGAGTAAATTAACAGCAGGCACCTGGTCTGTGACCTTTAGTGTCATTTAAAATGTTAATTAGTCAATTAAACAAAGTTCAGTTGCTTTTATCGTCAGTCCTTAGAAGGAACAGGCTTGAAGGGATGTCTCTGAAATATAATGGTGGTAGCCAAAGTGACACTAACCCAGGACTAATGAAACTAAATCAAAAAATGCCTTAACTACACTTTGCATTCACAATATCCGAAAGTTAAAAAAAAAAAATGCTGAGATGGACTTGATATTTCTTTAAAAAGTATTTTCACATTAAAAAAAGGCTGACTAATATGGAAACAAATCCTATTTATATCTTTCTCAAAAAGCTGCAAATGTATCACTAAACCAATGCTGAGCACTTCCTGCGTACCAGGTCTTAGGAGCTGAAGGGATGACGAATCCCTAGAGTTCTAACAGAAAAACATGCCTGAATCACAGGTGAGGAGGTATAGCTCCAAGTCCCTGTCCCTTCAACCTTGTCTATGACCATCGCAGCCATTCTCACCTGCTTTCTACCCTCCAAGACTCAGCAGTGGAGAGCTCCCCCTCCAACCTGCCAGCCCCGCTTGTTTACATCTCAGCCACTTTGATGTGGCCTTGTGGCTAGGCCTCGGAACCAAGCACTGAGCCAACGGCTTGTTGAACACCAAATGGGTACAGCAGACACTTCCCCTGGGGCACACCTCCAGCCTGAGGGCAAGGTTCCTAAGAACGGGTGATGGGGAGGGCCTTGGGAACAGTGGGGGACTGCTGGCAAGGCTTCTAACCCTCACACAGCCTTCTGAGTGGTAGGCTGGCCTCTACCCTCAAAGACGTGATTTCCTTCACTGCTTGGCTCACACTTATCTCCTGACTGCTTCCGCTTCCCCTCCCACTGTCCACACTGGAAAGGCATCGAAGAGCTGCCAGTTTGGCCCTGACTAATGTGGCTCAGTAGATAGGGTGTCATCCCCCAAACCGAAAGGCGTCCTGTTTGATTCCCAGTCCGGGTACATGCCTGAGTTGCTGGCCAGGTCCCCGGCTGGGGCGCGTTTGAGACACAACCAATCAACGTTTCCTTTGTACATCAATGTTCTCTCTCCCTCTCCTTCCCCCCTTCCCGTCTCTCTAACAAGAACATATACGAAGTACCCATGGATACGGCTAACGGTGTGGGGATTGACTATGGAAGTGGGCTGTGGACT